ATATTGAAGTCCTCCACTATTATTGTGTTGAGGTCTATCTCATTTCTTAGGTCTATTAGTAATTGTTTTATAAATTTGGGAGTTCCAGTGTTAGGTGCATATATGTTTAGGATTGTGATATTTGCCTGTTGGACAAGGCCTTTTGCTGTTACATAATGTCCCTCTTTGTCTTTTTTAGTTGCTGTTGCTTTAAAGTTTGTTTTGTCTGATATAAGAATAGCTACTCCTGGCCGGGCATGGTGGCTCACGCCTGTAATCCCAGCACTTTGGGAGGCGGAGGCGGGTGGATCACAAGGTCAGGAGTTCGAGACCAGCCTGGCCAATATGGTGAAACCCCGTCTCTACTAAAAATACAAAAATTAGCTGGGCATGGTGGTGAGTGCCTGCACAGTTACTCAGGAGGCTGAGGCAGGAGAATAGCTTGAATCCAGGAGGCGGAGGTTGCAATGAGCTGAGATTGCACTACTGTATTCCAGCCTGGGCGACAGAGTGAGACTCCATCTCAAAAAACAAAAACAAAAACAAAAAGAATAGCTGCTCCTGCTCGCTTTTGGTGTCCCTTTGCATGAAATGTCTTTTTCCACCCCTTTACCTTAAGTTTATGTGAGTCCTTATGTGTTAGGTGAGTCTCTTGAAGGCAGATAGTTGGTTGGTGAATTCTTTTTTTTTTTTTTTTTTTCATGGGATGGAGTTTCACTCTGTCGCCCAGGCTGAAGTGCAGTGGTGCAATCTCGGCTCACTGCAACCTCCGTCTCCCAGGTTCAAGTTGGTTGGTGAATCTTATCCATTCTGCAATTCTGTATCTTTTAAGTGGAGCATTAAGCCTATTTACATTCAATGTTAGTACAGAGATGTGAGGTACCATTCCATTCATCATGCTATTTGTTGCCTGTATAGCTTGTTTTTTTTTTTCTTTTTGTTTTTAAATTGTATTTTTTTTTTTAAGACAGAGTTTCGCTCTTGTTGCCCAGGCTGGGGTACAATGGCACCATCTTGGCTCACTGCAACCTCCGCCTCCCAGGTTCAAGTGATTCTCCTGCCTCAGCCTCCCAAGTAGCTAGGATTACAGGCAAGTGCCACCATGTCCAGCTAATTTTTGTATTTTTAGTAGAGATGGGGCTTCACCATCTTGGCCAGGATGGTCTCGAACTCCTGACCTCGTGATCTACCCTCCTCAGCCTCCCAAAGTGCTGGGATTACAGGTGTGAGTCACTGCGTCTGGCCTGTATTTTTGTTTTATTGGTCCTGTGAGATTTATGCTTTAAAAAGGTTCTGTTTTGATGTGTTTCCAGGATTTGTTTCAAGATTTAGCGCCCCTTTTAGCAGTTCTTGTAGTGGTGGCTTGGTAGTGGCAAATTCTCTCAGCATTTGTTTGTTTTAAAAAAAACCTATCTTTCCTTCATATATGAAGATTAGTTTCACTTGATACAAGATTCTTAGCCAGGCACAGTGGCTCACGCCTGTAATCCCAGCACTTTGAGAGACCTAGGCAGGCGGATCACCTGAGGTCAGGAGTTCAAGACCAGCCTGACCAACATGGAGAAACCCCATCTGTACTAAAAATACAAAATTAGTCAGGCATGGTGGCGCATGCCTGTAATCCTAGCTACTTGGGAGGCTGAAGCAGGAGAATCGCTTGAACCTGGGAGGCAGAGGTTGCAGTGAGCCAAGATCTCGCCATTGCACTCCAGCCTGGGCAACAAGAGCGAAACTACGTCTCAAGAAAAAAAAAAAAAAGATTCTTAGCTGATAATTGTTTTGTTCGAGGAGGCTGAAGATAGGGCCTCAGTCCCTTCTAGCTTGCAGGATTTCTGCTAATAAATCTGCTGTTAATCTGATAGATTTTCCTTTATAGGTTATCTGGTACTTTTGTCTCACAGCTCTTAAGATTCTTTCCTTCATCTTAACTTTAGATAAGCTGATGACAATGTACCTAGGTGATGATCTTCTGACAATGAAATTCCCAGATGTTCCTTGTGCTTCTTGTATTTGAATGTCTAAGTTTCCAGCAAGGCTGGGGAAGTTTTCCTCGATTATTCCCCCAAATACGTTTTCCAAACTTTCAGATTTCTCTTCTTCCCCAGGAATACCAATTATTCTTAGGTTTGGTCATTTAACATGATCCTATACTTCTTGGAGGCTTTGTTCATATTTTCTTATTCTTTTTTCTTTGTCTTTGTTGGATTGGGTTAATTCGAATACCTTGTCTTTGAGCTCTGAATTTCTTTATTCTACTTGTTCAATTCTATGGCTGAGACTTTCCTGAGCATTTTGCATTTCTATAATTGTGTCCATTGTTTCCTGAAGCTTTGATTGTTTTTTATTTATGCTATCCATTTCACTGAATATTCCTCTCTTCACTTTTTTTTTCTTTTTCTTTTTCTTTTTTTTAAGATGGAGTTTCACTCTTGTTGCCCAGGCTGGAGTGCAATGGCACTATCTCAGCTCACTGCAACCTCCGCCTCCCGGGTTCAAGCAATTCTCCTGCCTCAGCCTCCTGAGTAGCTAGGACTACAGGCATGCACCACCACACCTGGCTAATTTTGTATTTTAGTAGAGACAGGGTTTCGCCATGTTGGTCAGGCTGGTCTCGAGCTTCTGACCTCAGGTGATCTGCCCACCTTGGACTCCCAAAGTGCTGGGATTATAGGCATGAGCCACCATGCTCGGCCTTCTCTTCTTGTTTCATTTCCTTTCTTTTCTTTCCTTTTTTTTTTTTTTTTTGAGATGGAGTCTCACTCTGTTGCCCAGGCTGGAGTGCAGTGGCACAATCTTGGCTCACTGCAACCTCCGCCTCCCAGGTTCAAGCGATTCTCCTGCCTCAGCCTCCCAAGTAGCTAAGACTACAGGTGTGTGCCACCACACCCGGCTAATTTTTTTGTATTTTTAGTAGAGACGAGGTTTCACCGTGTTAGCCAGGATGGTCTCGATCCCCTGACCTCATGATCCGCCCACCTCAGCCTCCCAAAGTGCTGGGATTACAGGTGTGAGCCACCGTGGCTCTCCAATTTTTTTTATTTCCTTACATTGGGCTTCACCTTTCTCTGGTGCCTCCCTGAGTAGCTTAATTACTAACCTCCAGAATTCTTTTTCAGGTAAATCAAAGATTTCTTCTTGGTTTGGATCCATTGCTGGTGAGTTAGTGTGATCTTTTGTGGGTGTCAAGGAACCTTGTTTTTTCATATTACCAGAGTCAGTTTTCTGGTTCCTTCTCATTTGGGTAGGCTCTGTCAGAGGGAAGGTCCAGGGCTGAAGGCCATTGTTCAGATTCTTTTGTCCCATGGCATGTTCCCTTGATGTAATATTCTCCCCCTTTTCCTGTGGATGTGGCTCCCTAAGAGCCAAGCTGTAGTGATTGTTACAGCTTTTCTGGATCTAGTCACCCAGCAAGTCTACCAGGCTCTGGGTTTGTACTCGGGGTAGTCTGCACAGAGTCCTGTGATGTGAACCGTCTATGGATCTCTCAGCTGTGGATACCAGCACCTGATCTGGTGAAGATGGAAAGGGGGTGAAATGGACTCTGTGAAGGTTCTTAGCTTTGGTGGTTTAATGCACTATTTTTGTGCTTGTTGGCCTCCTGCTGGGAGGTGGCGCTTTCCAGACAGCATCAGCTGTGGTAGTATGGGGAGGAACAGGCGGTGGGCGGGGCCCTAGAACTCCCAAGAGTATGTGCCCTTTGTCTTCAGTTACCAGGGTGGGTAGGGTAGGATCATTGGGTTGGGGCAGGGCTAGGTGTGTCTGAGCTCAGAGTCTCCTTGGGCAGGTCTTGCTGCAGCTGTTGTGGGGTATGGGGGTGAGGCTCCCAGGTCAATGGAGTTATAATCATAGAAGGATTATGGATGTCTCTACTGTGTTGTGCAGGTTGTCAGGAAAGTGGGGGAAAGCCAGCAGTCACAGGCCTCACACAGCTCCCACAGAATCCAAAGGGCTGGTCTCACTCCCACTGTACCCCCACCCAACAGCACTGAGTCTGTTTCCAGGCAGTGAGTAAGCAGGGCTGAGATCTTGCCCCAGGCTACCCACCTCCCAGCTGTGAAAGCAAGTATGGCTTTCCTTCTTACCCCGCCTGTGGAGTCTGCACACCAGATTCATGCCCCACCCCCTAACAAGTTCTGGCCAGAAGACTTCTCCATCAGTCCATCAGTTCGAACTGTCTTTTTTTGTTTGTTTGTTTGTTTGTTTGTTTGTTTGTTTTTGAGATGGAGTTTTGCTCTGTCGCCCAGGCTAGAGTGCAGTGGCACGATCTCAGCTCACTGCAGCCTCTGCCTCCTGGGTTCAAGTAATTCTCCTGCCTCAACCTTCCGAGAAGCTGGGATTACAGGCGCGCATCACTACACCTGGCTAATTTTTGTATTTTTAGTAGAGACGAGGTTTCACCATCTTGGCCAGGCTGGTCTTGAACTCCTGACGTCCGGTGATCCACCCTCCTCACTTTCTCAAAGTGCTAGGATTACAGGCTTGAGTCACTGTGCCCGGCCTCAGTTCAAATTGTTACAAAGTTCGGCTGGAGATTTCTTTCTCCCTGTGACCTTTTCCAAGTGCCTCTGGCCACCCTACCAAAGGACCCCTGTAAGGCCAGGCAGAAATGGTTTGCTAGGGGACCCAGTGAGCTCACAGGGCTTTTCCCACTCTTTCCTCTACTCCTGTATTTCGCACGGTATCTAAATCAACTCAGCTTCAGGTAAGGTCAGAATCTTCTCCCGTAACCTAGGCCTTCAGTTTCCCCAGTGGGGGTGTGTGTTCAGGGGCAGAAGAGCTCCCTTTCCCACTTCCACAGTTTGGGCACTCACAGTGTTTGGTGTGTCTCCTAGGTCCTGCAGGAGCAGTCCGCTTTCTTCAGAGGGTCTGTGGGTCCTCTTGGGTTTCCTGATTTATTCCTGCAGTCGTTCCGGCGCAAAATTTCATGATGCGAGCGTCCACATGTTGCTCTGTTCGTCCAAGTTGGAGCTGCAATCTAGTCCTGCCTCCCATCTGCCGTGATCCACCTTCTTCTTTTTTTATATGGAACACTTCACTTCACGGATTTGTGCATTATCCTTGTGCAGGGACCATGCTAATCTTTTCTGCATCATTCCAATTCCAGTACATGTGCTGCTGAAGCGAGCACACGTGCTTAGGTTCTGATGGCCTTGTAGAGGAAGGAGACAGAGCCTTCGGCCTCAGTAAGGCAGGGGGTTGGAACTGAAACACCTGTAGGAAGTTGGGAGTTTCAAAGGACTACACCTTCAATAAGGTTGAACTAGACAAAAATTGATTCGCTAGCATAGGAAGACAACCTGGGCTCTAAGAAGGTAGAAAACAGGTCTCCCTCTGAAGCCTGCTTTCACATGGGTTTGGGATTCAAAATGTATAACTCCTACAATGTCCAGGAACCCTCTACACCAAACAATAAGTATAAAGTGTATACTCACTTAAGAGTATAACTATTGTTATTCCTACCTAGCAGAAGCAACATAAAACAACTCTAGAGAGACATATCCCTCACAAGATCCCCACAAGTAAAGCTGCACTGAACACAATTTAAAATAAAAAATTATAAAACACATGAAAAAACACCACACCATAATCAAATGTCTGAAGACACAACGCATAGACCCTGAAACACACAGACTCATCTAATACACACTACAAAATATGCTTAAAATGATTAAAGATATAATTGAAAATGTAAGAAAAGAACAAGACATTATTTTATTTTTACAGATTTGAGGATACAAATGCAGCTTTGTTACATGGATATATTGTGTAGTGGTGAAGTTTGGGCTTTAAAGTGTAACCGTCACTCAAATCATATACATAGAACCCATTAGGTAATTTTTTTTTTTTTTTTTTTTTTTTGAGACGAAGTCTTCCTCTGTCGTCCAGGCTGGAGTGCAGTGGCGCAATCTCCACTCACTGCAAGCTCCACTGCCTCCTGGGTTCACGCCATTCTCCTGCCTCAGCCTCCCGAGAAGCTGGGACTACAGGCGCCTGCCACCACGCCTGGCCAATTTTTTTGTATTTTTAGTAGAGACAGGGTTTCACCGTGTCAGCCAGGATGGTCCCGATCTCCCGACCTCGTGATCCGCCCGCCTCGGCCTCCCAAAGTGCTGGGATTACAGGCGTGAGCCACCGCGCCTGGCCGAGGTAACTTTTTTTTTCTTTTGTTTTTTTTTTTTGTTTTTTTTTTTTTTTTTTTTTTTTTTTTTGCGACAGAGTTTCGCTCTTGGTGCCCAGGCTGGAGTGCAGTGGTGCAATCTTGGCTCACTGCAATCTCTGCCTCTGGGGTTCAAGCGATTCTTCTGTCTCAGCCTCACAAGTAGCTGGGATTACAGGCGCATGCCACCAAGCCCAGCTAATTTTTTGCATTTTTAGTAGAGACGGGGTTTCATCATGTTGGCCAGGCTGGTCTCAAACTGCTGACCTCAGGTGATCCACCCGCCTCAGCCTCCCAAAGTGCTGGGATTACAGGTGTGAGCCGCTGTGCCTGACCCATTAGGTAATTTTTTATCCCTTACACCTCTTGCACCTCCCACCTTTCTGGGTCTACAGTGTCTATTATTCCACTCCAGTACACTATTTTTAAAAGGCCAGGTAGTATTGAAAAAGAATTCTAGACATGAAAAAAAGTTTTAAATTTAAAAACTCAATAGACATGTTAAACCACAGATTGGGCACAATTAAAGAGAAAAGTGGTAACTAGAAAAATAGATATATAGAATGCAACACAGAGAGATAAAGAAATAAAAAATATGAAAAGAGGTAAAGAGACATGCAGGACAAATTTGAAAGTAATATTCAAAGAAGTAATGATTGAGGGTATTCTAGAACTGATTGTTTAAAAATGTGAATTCTCGGGCCGGACGCGGTGGCTCACGCCTGTAATCCCAGCACTTTGGGAAGCCAAGGCAGGTGGATCACCAGGTCAGCAGTTCAAGACCAGCCTGACGAAGATGGTGAAACCCCATCTCTACTAAAAATACAAAAAAATTAGCCAGGCGTGGTGGCAGGCACCTGTAATCCCAGCTACTCGGGAGGCTGAGGCAGGAGAATTGCTTGAACCCGGGCGGCAGAGGTTGCAGCAAGCTGAGATCGTGCCACTGCACTCCAGGCTGGGTGACAGACTGAGACTCCATCTAAAAAAAAATAAAATAAAATAAAATAAAAAGAAATGTGAATTCTCAAATTCAGAAACTGTGAGTCCTTAGCAAGATAAATACAATAAATTCACATTTAGACCATTTTATTGAATCTTTAGAACATCAAAACAAATGATCCTGGTGATAATACTTAACATTTTCTATGTGCCCCATTGCTCTAAACACTGTACCCAAGAGATAATCATTTTAATATATTGTTATATTTTCTTCCAGTGTTTTATCGATGTATGTATATGCACAATACAAAAATTCAGAATAATTTTTGTATTATTCAAAACAAAATCAGAATAAACCCACACATAAAAACTTGTATTCTTCTTTTTTTTTTTTTTTTTGCTCAACATTTTACCATAAGCATTTTCCTATGTTATTAAGCAGCAGCAATAGCTGCAATAACAGCATAAATAACAACTAACATTTTAGTGTTGTTGTCAGGAGTATGGGTTTTGAAATCAAACTTTCTGGGTTTAAGTCCCAGCTCACCACTTACTAGCCATGTGGTGGACAAGTGACTCATCCTCTCTCTGATTCCATGTCCTCAGTAGTAAAAACCTACATCCTGGGGTTATTGTGAGTTACTATTTAATTTACTTTTTTTTTTTTTTTTTTTTTTGAGACAGAGTTTCACTTTCACTGCCCAGGCTGGAGTACAATGGTGCAATCTCGGCTCACTGCAACCTTCGCCTCCCAGATTCAAGCGATTCTCCTGCCTCAGCCTCCCCAGTAGCTGGGATTACAGGCGCTCGCCACCACAGGTGACTAATTTTTGTCTTTTTAGTAGAGACGGGGTTTCACCATGTTGGCCAGGCTGGTCTTGAACTCCTGACCTCAAGTGATCCACCTGCCTCAGCCTCCCAGAGTGCTGGGATTATAGGCATGAGCCACTGTGCCCCCAGTCTTGTGAGTTCCTGTTTACTAAGCTGTCTGCTGGGCACTGTGCTAAACACATGAATAATGTCATTTAATAATAATCATAATCATAATCATAATCATAATAACCACCCAGTGGGTTAGAAACTGCCCTTGGTCCTATTTTATAGATGAGAAAAGGGGCTTAGGAAGACTCTTAGGTGATTTGCCCAAAGTCATATGACCAATGATGGAGGTTTGACTTGAGTTCATATCTACCCCCAAAACCTATGCTCTCAATTGTTGTGCTACACTGTTCTTCCATATCATTTTATTTTATTTTGTTTTATTTTATTTACTTACTTATTTTGAGACAGAGTTTTTGTCACCCAGGGTGGAGTGCAGGGGCACTATCTCGGCTCACTAAAACCTCCGCCTCTCGGGATCAAGTGATTCTCGTGCCTTAGCCTCCCAAGTAGCTGGAATTACAGGCATGCGCCATCACGCCCAGCTAATTTTTGTATTTTTTAGTAGAGATGAGGTTTCACCATGTTGGTCAGGCTGGTCTCGAACTCCTGACCTCATGATGCGCCTGCCTCGGCCTCCTAAAGTGCTGGGATTACAAGTGTGAGCCACCCCGCCTGGCCTCTTCTATATCATTTTAAAGGCTTCATAGTATGTACAAATCATAAAGTTCACCAAAATATTCCTCAAATGTTGCACATTTAGATCTTTTCCATTTATTTTCTATTACAAATAACCCGGTAAAGCACATCTTTGCCCATAAAATATTGTGTGCACTTCAGATAAACCCTTTTAGTGGAATTACTCTGAAGTGGACTTACTAAGTAAAAAAAGTATGACATTTTAAGGGTCTTCATGTATGTTACCAAACTGCTTTTCAGAAAGATTGAAACCATTTACATACTCACTGGCAGTGTATGAGAGCAAAGTGGAGTTTTTAATTTTTTTAATTTTAATTTTTTGAGATGGAGTCTCACTCTGTCACCCAGGCTGGAGTGCAGTGGCGTGATCTCGGCTCACTGCAACCTCTGCTTGCTGGATTTAAGTGATTCTCCTGCCTCAGCCTCCCGAGTAGCTGGGACTACAGGCACACGCCACCATGCCTGGACAATTTTTTGTATTTTTAGTAGAGACTGGGTTTCACCATGCTGACCAGGCTGGTCTGGATCTCCTGACTTCATGATCCACCTGCCTTGGCCTCCCAAAGTGCTGGAATTACAGGCGTGAGCCACTGCTCCTGGCACGTCATTTCTGTATGTTGGTAATGTTTCAAGTACTCTCTTCTAGCTACTTGGAAATATACAATATATTGTTGCTAACTCTAGTGACCCTACTCTATTATGGAACATTAGAACGTATTTCTTCTAACTGTATGACTGGATCCATTAACCAACCTTTTATTCATCACCCGCCTCCCACCCACACACCCTTTCTAGCCTCTGGTATCTATAATTCTCTTCTCTATTTCCATGAGGTCAACTTTTTTCTTTCTTTTCTTTTCTTTTTTTTTTTTTTTTGAGACAGAGTCTTGCTCTGTCGCCCAGGCTGGAGTGCAGTGGCGTGATCTCGGCTCACTGCAAACTCCGCCTCCCGGGTTCATGCAATTCTCCTGCCTCAGACTCCCGAGTAGCTGGGACTACAGGTGCTCGCCGCCACGCCCGGCTAATTTTTTGTATTTTTTTTAGTAGAGACAGGGTTTCATCATGGTCTCAATCTCCTGACCTTGTGATCCGCCCTCCTTGGCTTCCCAAAGTGTTGGGATTACAGGCGTGAGCCACTGCACCTGGCGGAGGTCAACTTTTTTCATTTCCAGCGTATGAGTGAGAATATGTAGTATTTGTTTTTCTGTGCCTGGCTTATTTAATATAATGACATCTAGTTAGTTCCATTTATGTTGCTACAAATGACATGATTTCATTCTTTTTTTATGGCTGAATAGTATCCCACTGTGTATATATACCACATTTTCTTCTTCTTTTTTTTTACTCGTGTATATATACCACATTTTCTTCTTCTTTTTTTTTTCAGAGATGGGATCTTGCAATGTTGCCCAGGCTAGAGTGCAGTGGCACAATCATGTCTTCAATATCCCACT